TCAGATCAGAAGAAAGGTGAATAATATGTATTTTAATACATAAAGTTCTAGTTGGTATATATTCAAAATAATATATTGTATAAGCTCTGAATAGTTCGGTAAAGGTTTTGAATAAGTTATATGTATTAATAAATTTTAAATTTCTCATTATTTTATACAAGTAACAGTTTTGGAAAAGTCAATGTGACACTTCGGACTCGGATCCGGTTCGAATACGGGTTGGGGGTGTTACAATCTCTTTTATTTTTAGAAGCAATGGCAAAATGGAAAAGTTTAGAGCATTTATCACCTTCTTTAATCCACTGAATTTTTTCTTTATATTTTAGAAACAGATGCTCAGAGTCTTATAAATCATTCAGCTCCTTATGAGTTATGTATTCTTTTTCCATAGAGGTTGTGCCATTAAGAGTGTCATTTTGAATTTGCTCTAACTCAGTCTTCTTTTGTCTAACCCTAGCAGAAATATCACTAAAGTGGTATTTGTTTAAGTTCTTCAGGCTAGTTTTTAGACGTTTAAGCTTAATGAATAATTTTTGCATAGGATTACCATAACAGGGCTGCTGCCAAGAGAATTTGACAACTTCAAGAAAGTTTGAGTGAGTGGCCCAGAAGTTGAAAAATTTAAAAGGTTTTGGTCTGTTGGTATGAGTCTCTTTATTGATCCATACAAGACTCATACATTGGTCAGAAGGTACAGGGGCAGTGAATTCAACAAAAGATTTCTGAAAAGTGGTAGCCCAAAAAGAATTTATCAGAATTCTATCAAGTTTTCTAGCAAAGAAAGAATCCTTTTGTTTGTTTCTCCAAGTGAAAGTTGGGCCAAAATAAGGGTGATATTGCAGGAAAAGATCTTGAATTACATTTTGGAAATCCATCATATCAGAAGAGATATAAGGGCCTAAGATATCAAAATCAGAGTTTTCTTTGGAGTCAAGGAAAATGTTAAAATCCCCTCCTAGGATCCAAAGAGAATAACCAAAAAGAGGATCAAGATCTCTGAGAGTCTACCAAAGAAGTCTTCTAGTAGAACCACAATTACTGTCATTGATAACAGTGATGAAAAATAGGGAATCATTAAAAGAATACTTAGCAGAGATACATTGAGTTACATTGAGTTGAAGAATGACATAAAGAAAGATCACTTCCTTTATTCCAAAGAAACCATAATCTGCCATTGAGGGCATAGTCATAATTTGTGATAACATTCTAATCCCCAAATTTAGAATTTAGAATTTTTAAGAGTTTTCAGCTTTGACCCGAGTTTCCAACAAGCACAAGACATCAATATTATACTGTGTAGCTCTGTTTAAGACTTTATTCTGTTTATAATGATTATTAAATCCTCTGATATTCCAAAAGAATATAATCATTGAGGAATGGAGGAGGATGAATCCTCTAAAGCTCTGTCTGAGGTACCGGTGAACTTAGATAATTGATCTTTCTTTTTTGACTTAAGTTAATTGATCAATTTTGCAACTCCTGAAGAAGCATGCCTAGGTTTTTTTAATTGAACCTCAGATAATGGGGAATCCTCATCAACTTTGGTTAAAATTTCAAAATAATTAGCTGAGGCTCCCATCACTGTTTTAGTTTTAGCCTTGAGTGGTCTGCCTCTGCCTCGTTTAGGAAAAGGAGGGGTCCCATTATCATTAGTAGTTTGGGATAGAACAAATATGTTTCCTTTATCAGAATTTTCACAAGAAGCTAAGTTATGATCCTTAGAGATTTCCTCAGTATTAAGGATGAGAAGGTGATTTAAAGGTTTACCTTTATAAGAATGGCCCAAAGTGTCAGAATTTTCACAGAAAGCTAAGATCTGGTCCTTAGTGTTAGCATCACTATTAATGGTGGAGAGATGATTTGAATGTTCACCTTCAAAAGAGTAGCCTAATGTGGATTCAGGAATGGAAGCAACTTCTGTTTCAGTCTCTAAGTCTTTGGGAAGCGGAGCTTCTAAAACTTCAGTAGCTTTAGCCTCGGAGTTATCATCAGAGGAAGTCTTTTTTCTCTAAATTTTTGAAGTTTGTGGAGCAGTTGAAGAATTAATAAAACAACCTTTATCAGTATGGCCAAAAGATTGACATTTGTTATATCTAGGAGGATACCATGGAACTTCAACATAAATAGTAGTGGAGAGGCCATTTGCTAGAATAACTTCAATGGATTTTCTCTTTAGCTCCTATCTCTATGCAGACTTTAGCAAATTGGAGTCTAGTTTTAGAAGCAGTATAAGAGTCCATAGTTAATGGTATTCCTATGACACTAACTATGTAGCGAAGTCCCTCTTTAGAAAACAATTTTAAAGGTACATTAAACAAGTGAACCCAGATAGGCAGGCGAGATAAAATCAAACTCAAGTCTTTACATGTTTGGTTCCCACTTTCTAAGTATTTGAGGTTTATGCCATGGTCCGTTTTCAAGGACCCAATCACGAGTAGAATCAATATTGAAAGAGAAAACGTACAAGTTATTGCCTGCGAGACTTACCTGAAGCCTAACCCCTTTCGAAGATTGGTTCCAAAGGTTCTCGATGATTCTTTGCAGAGTGTTGAAATTTGGAGCAGCCCCTAAGAACTGACCAACGAGGGAAGATTTTCATTCTACAGATCCAGCCTCGAAGACTTCAGAAGGAGGTTGTACAATAAGATTTTCTCGCTCGAGTTTGGGGGAAAGTATGTGAGTTATTGCCTATATTGACACCCAAAGAGCTTTCGCCAGTCCATAGAGGAAACAAATAAGATTGAGGATGAACCGTGGAAGCTTAACTGTTGATCGGAAGAAAATCGGCGACGCGACGGAAAATTAATCCTGCTAACGTACGCTCAACGGTCGCTTTTATTCTATCCTTCGTATTTTCTAAACATAATTATAAATTTAACTTTCAAGTTAAATTGATCAAAGAAAACTTTCAAGTTAATTTTATTTTTCATCCATTTTCTAATTTAATATAATCATTTAATAAATATTAAATTTAATCTTTTTAAAATGGTTTAATAATTATTTTTAATAAAAATTGATTAAAATATTAAATTTTAACAATAGATAATCAATCATGTAATAATATGCATATACTTTATGTTTTCACTTTAAATTTTTATTTTTTCTGTTAATATACAGTGATTACAATACAGTATCTTTGTATCTGTTTTAAATATTCTCAACTATATAACAATGAAAATTCAAACACTCTTACATTTGTTTTAATGATTCTCAACTATTTAACAATTAAAGTTTAAATACTATTGCAGTGTTTGAACCTAGAACCTTTAAAGATGACAATTATCCCATTAACTATAAAAGTGGTTTGATTCATGCTAAAATAATACAATATCACCCAAATAAGAAAATTTCATATTAGAATATCATTTAGCTTCAAGTAGTTGTGTCTGTAGAGTTTCCTATACATTATTAATAGACTAATTTTTTTTAAAAAATGTATTATCTTGTAATCATTTCATATTGTTTAAAAAATTTCAAGCAGTATATGTTCATAATTTTTATTAACCTTTGATAATGTACACACATCCTATAGACGCGACTGCCCGTATTCGGGACCTCAAGAGATAATAAAACTCCCTCTAATAACTAAAGTCGCTCAATGAGTTCGAATATACTAAACTAACCGAATCAATTCAATTTGGCATCATGGCATGTATTAATTTTTTTTTCATATTATATTTATGATATTCTCATTTCATTTAATATTTTATTTATTTATTTATATACTTATTTAACTTATTTAAAAAGTTTATTATATATACTTATATCAATATAATATCACTATAAATGTCATCCAAAAATCAGGGGAAATGCTCACGTGCGACAGCTTTAATATACGGCTAAAAAAATGTGCTACCAGTTTCATTATTATTATTTTAAATAATAAAACCGATAAAAAATGACCGAAAACATTATTATTTCTACTAGTTTTGTTATTATTATTAATTATCAATATAGGTAAACGCGATAGAAAAACCTGGTAAAAAATAATGTTTTCGGTAAAGCGCTACCTAAAATATTATTTTTTTGCTGGGTTTTTTTACCGCGTTTACCTATATTGGTAATTAAAATCGGTAGAAATAATAATGTTTTTGGTCATTTTTTACCGATTTTATTATTTAAATAATAACAAAACCTATAACGTTTTTTTTAACCGTATATTAAGACTGCCGTACCGTAAAACTTCCCAAAAATTAAGGCACATTTGGTTTAATAAGATACAATGCACTTTTATTCTATAGGAAGTTACTAGAGAAACCTTGTTTACTGATTTTTTAGAGAATTTTTGGAAAACAAAAAATTAAACTACAAATATTATTTAATTATTTAAAATTAAAAAATGAAAACAATTAACTTTTTACTTAATTAATAATTATATATAATTCAATTCGATATAGATATTATCTTTTTCAACTGTCTTTAAATATTAAATGTCGTACTCAAATTCGTGTTCATACAATGGGACGAACATATGATTTTATATTAGAAGAACAACCTATAATATTTTGTTGGGGTGAACTTATTAAATTTTAAATGGACGTAAATAAATTATTAATAAAAATATAAAAATATTTACAATATATAAAAAATTAAAATTTGTACGGAGAAAAAAAACATTGATGACTCATTTATTATTATTTTAATTGTGAAAAAGTAAGTATCAAAATTTCCATTTGGAGAATTAGATTTTCCAATTCATTTAATTAACGCGTTTTAGACAACGAGACCTTGACGAGTTGACAAACTTGGAACCTTATTTATGCTTGGCTCCTACATTGTTTAAATTATGTTGAATTAACCTTGACGAGGCCTTGATTTATTTCAGAAGCTCCATAGATCCATTTTTTTCCAAACAGGCCATAATCGGTTTGGTTCGAGGCTTCGAGCATGAAGACTTGTACAATTGAATTCTTAGGTAGCACCATTGGGCCGAAGAACTCGTCATTTTTGTCCCGCTGGTTACGAGAAGTTTCCTGACCCGAATCTTATCGAACCCCCCCCCCCCCGGTTTTAGCTGTGTCTTCAAACGTCAGTTCTTCCAAATCTCATTTGCAGTCCAGTTTTCTTCCTTGAACTGTTTTCCCGGGATTCAAACACCGAATTCTCAACCCTGGGAGAAGATACAACTCATGAAGCATCAAGTTCTCATGGTCAATCGCAAGATTTCATTGGAATAAATACCCAAAATCCAAACACATACTTCGTTTCCATTTCATATTTTCTATGGACAAAGAAACTGAACTGCTCTCGCACCTAGTCGCGAACCATCTACACCTAGCACAAATCGAGCCGTTACGAGCCACGCTTCTCGCTCTACGAACTAAAGACCCTGAACTTGCTCGAGCAATCCTTCAAACGATCGTTGCCAACTCGGGTCGGTTCGAGAACATTGCCTGGTCACCTTCTTGTCCATCACCAGCTCTACTAACCTACCTTTCAACTCTCGAACTCTTGCAATTTAATAATCCTACATCGATATGGAGCTTCGATCCCGATACATTGCGACTACGAGCGGAATTTTTGTTGTTAGTTCAAGTTTTGATCGACAAGATATTGGCTAGTCTGAGAAGAGATGTTGACTTGGACAAAATTGAAAAGGAGAAGGTAAGTGAGAGTGAGGGTTTTGAGGAAGAGAGACCAGAGTTGTTGGATAGAAGTGAGGATTTGAAAGAGGGAAATGGTGATTTGGGAGATTGTGTTAGGGTTTTAGATAGGTTTTTGGAGTTGGGAATGAGGAGGTTGAGACCGGATGTAGTCATGGACGGTATTGATGATGGTGGTGGAGAGGAGCATAAGGCTGTTTTGGAGAAGGTTTTGATTGAGGAAGAAGACTTGGTTTGTTTGAGGAAGGTGATCATTGATTATGCAGATCTTTTCGATGCCTTATGCGCGAATATTCAGAGGCAATTGAAAGGGCTGGACGATGTTGATTTGGGGATGGCTATAATGGTACGAAGAGAGGAGAAGGTGAGAGTGGATTCATTTGATGAGGAACATAAGGGGGTTCTTAGTTTAATGCAAAAGAGTGTTCAGTTGGCTCATTTGGATGCTATGAAGTTATCTGCGAAGGACGGGGATATTGAAGGAGCAGTTTCTCATATTCGTTTTCTTCACCTTGATCATGGAGTCGAGGAGATTCTGTATCGGTAAGTGCATTTATTGATAAAATGAGTTTGAAATTTACAATTTCACTGCAAGATGCTTAGCTTATTTTATCTAGTCATTATTAGATAGGAAAGAAAACAAATTATCCAATTGTGGTTGGGGTAGGTATGTGCTTTGTTCTACTTCGCTCTTTTTCTGCTTGGCCTTAACTATATATATAGTATCAGTGTTGAACGCTCCTTAAAAAATATTGTATATACTTTCTCAACTTTAAATCTTATCATGCTTGGTTTAATCTGCAGCTTTTAGGAATGGAATTTGGTTTTAGCACCTTGTATAAAGGATGGTTATGCTATTTTTATTTTTAAGACGTCTTATGTGAACTACCCAAGGAATTTTCCACTGGTATTTTTTTTTGGGAAAAGGGCAATTGTGAGTTTGAAATTAAGTAAATGCTTCTTAAAAAGAGGTTGAATCTAAATATCAACTTAACCAACCAAAGGGCTGTTTCATCAGCTACCGTAGACCTTTAACATTGTTTTTGTCATTCTATCAGAGATTAGTTTACTATTAAGTTGATTCAAAGGGTAGAAAACAGACTTAGAAAAGGGGGAAGAGAGTCAGGGTGTAAAGAAGAAGAAAATCATATATAAAATTCTTGTCTATGTAATTAAATAAAATTCACTTTTCTTCTTGTTGTATAGCCTGCTGTTGTATGAAGTGTAATTTATTTTTGGAATAACATTTGAGGCACTCTTTTCCTCCTTCCAATGTCCGCTGATGTATTTTTGTACATCAGTGGTTATGAAGGGGTTTTTTAACGAGGCCTCATTTCTTTATCAAAAAAATAAAAAATAAAGTCAGTACATTTAGAGTGACTACTCCTGGATGTACTAGAACCATTTTATAAATGCTGAAGATGGTTAGATGCCTGAGAAATACATTCTTATATAATTAAAAGAATACATTGTTGGAAAGCAGATACCACATTGAGTTTCATCTTTTTTTAGTGGAATTATAGATGTTTTTAAGCATTCTTTTGTCTACTATTGCTAACATTTTCTTAGAGTTCTTCAATAACCTTTTTCCTGGAAGTAAATTTCATGAAAGTTACTGACAAAATTTATTGACAAATTAACTTTGTGTGCTTTATCTGCTCAATAGTTTTATTCGCTAGATCTCTTTGGTGATTTGAATGGCTATCTGTCATTCATTCATTCTCTTGTATTTGAATGACTGTATTTGACATTCATTCATTCTCTTGTAGATTCTACGTGTAGTTCCCTAGATTTATTTCTTTATGGTTTCAAAGAAATGTCTTTGGCATTGGCATGATTTCATCCATTCCTTTTTAGTTTTTTTTATTTACATTTCCTTTGGTATTTCTGATAGGTCACTCTTAAAAGATCTACTCAAGAGGGTTTTATCAGAAATGGAAATATTTGGAGAGTCCAGGCATTCCCAAGAAGAAAAATTGTTACGGATTTATGAAGAAGCTCTATCATCAAATTGCAGGCATCTGATTCAAATAATTAAAGTATTACCCTCTTTTACCTTCTTATGGTTCCTCACATTCCATACTGGTGACATCCTAGTATATTGCCTATAATTCTTAGTACAAACCATGCTGGCTTGCTTAATTTGTGGTCTGTTTGGGAGATCTCTTAACGTGGTTGAATATGATAGTTTGGATAGTTTCATACCATAATGTTTGGTGACAATTTTAACTCTCACTACTTTACTAAATAAAATCCTTGAGAACCTCTGAATTGGTAATTGCATTTCAATGATGTTCTAGTAAAAAAGATCTAAACTATTAGTTAAATCCTTCCCATATTCACACCTTGTATTTTACTGTGCTTTCTTGCAGGTTATTCATGATGAGTTGCTTGTTGAAGAGATTGAGATGTATAGATCTCTTGATAACAACCAAATTCCACCACCTCTTGAGCATTTTCAAAAGTATTTAGTGGAATTGAAACCTAATGCATATTTAAATAACAATCATTGGCCCTTGACTATGGCATCAAGTTCTTGCATGAGAGATTTGTTCCATTATGCTCGCATTTCTGGGTTACATGTACTAGAGTGTGTGATGAATACAACTTTGTCTGCCATAAAAAAGGAGAACATTGAAGAAGCAAATAATGTAAGTTTCTTATTTTATGTTCAAGTTAATGCATTGACCCAAAACATATCAGGCATTCCTTATGTGTTGGTCTCTTACTTTGTCAATCTTATATGCATCTTTCAAAAATATGGTTAGGTTCTTGTATTGTTCCCTCGCCTTAGGCCCCTAATAGCTACTATGGGTTGGGATTTGCTATCTGGTAAAACAATTTTGAGGCGGAACTTGATGCAACTTCTTTGGATAAGTAAATCACATACGTTTCAGCTGGAAGAATATCCTCTCTATGGAAACCAATCAGATGAGGTAATTCATGTTTCTGAACTTTCATGATGTAATAGTTGAATATTCTAAAGATAAGAAATAAAAATTTTATATTTATATTGTTGACAGGTATCTTGTGTGGAACATCTCTGTGATCAATTATGTTATAACCTTGATATTGCCTCTTTTGTTGCTTGTGTCAATTCTGGTCAACCATGGAGTTCAAAATTCTCATTACGATTGTCTGGACGTGAAAACATAGTATATGGAAGTGAAGATGCAAAGTTAGATACGTTCGTTGAAAATTTTGTGTTGGAAAGGCTTGCCGTTCAAACTCCTCTCCGGGTAAGGCTCCGTAACCACTTTTGAGTACAATTTTATTATAATACTATGAGCAGTATTAAAATTTGGGCACTCTTTTCCTCCTTCCTATGACTATTGAGTTTTTCGGAGCTTGATGGTTATGAAGGGTTTTTTTAATGAGGCCATATTCTTAAAAAAAATACTATGAACAATAATGTGGTATCTGACACAATATAAAACACTTTACTCTTAAATGGAACATGAAAGCTTTGCCAACTAGATGGACCAAGATATATTTTTGAACACAAACAAAACACCCTGAAAAACATCTCGACCATAATTTTCTATAAGACTCTACGTGTAGTTCTACCATCAGATAAAAACTAATTATCATGTTGTAAGAATCTAAATGGTCATTAGTTACACTTGGCTAATAACCTGTATGCACCTGTAAGTAGTTGTATATTTTTTCTTAAACATGTCCTTTTCTTTTGAGGTTGATGGATATTCCATGGAACTTGTTTGGTCTAGGTTGCATAGTTTTGCCTCATTCTTTCTAGTTTTTGTCAACACTAACCAGTAACCATGATGCTATGTGATTAGTAGAGAGCATTAAGAGAATACCTCTATAAAATGTTTTAAGGAGAAAAACAGGTACCTTCGCCTCATTGGAGCTTATAAACAGTGACGAAGAAGATGGAAGGGATAATACAAATCCTTCATTTTGCCTTGAGGACAAGTGAGTTTTCATGGGGGAAGTATTGATATGGTTCCACTACCCAGCAAAGTCTCATCTACTTGGCCTACACAATTCCCATGATCTACATGACGCTAAAGAGGAGTTACAAGTCCCACCTTAGCAGTCCTTTTTTTTTATAAGAATTGAAGGCCTCGTTAAAAACCCCCTTCTTGATTAATGGAGCTTGTAGAGAAGCTTCTTAATTTTTTTTGATAAAAGAGAAGCTCCTTAATTAGCGGAAGGAGGAAAAGAGTGCCTTAAGATTTCATTAATCACAAAGGAAGTTACATAACAAATACAACACTCATATACACCCCTTACAGAAACTAGAAAACCATTAAACAACCCTAAACTATCAGTTCTGCCATATTTCTATTATCTTCTATTTTATTGAACCTTAGCTTTGTTTTCCAGCAAATAATAGTCCAGACTCCAGACTATGTATTGTAAATATCCTATGAGTTTTTTTTAGGCATGAATAATATTACTTTGGGTTTTCTAGATTATGGATTGTAATAGTGTCAAGAGTCTTCACTGCTACATCTAATAAAAAAATTTGTTCTTTTCTTTATCATTTCCTTCCTTAGAAATTCTGCTTCTATCAGTATTGCTCACATGTGAAAGATTGTTGTTATAGAGGCATTTACGAGAAATTTTGCTTGTTGAAAGCTGTAAGCAGTGCTTTTCTCCTTCTAATGTGGTATTTCTCTCTAACCACATTTCTTTTCTGTAGGTACTGTTTGATGCTGTTCCAAGCATAAAGTTTCAAGATGCTATCGAATTGATTAGCATGCAACCCATTGCTTCTACTCTTGAGGCCTGGAAAAGGTATTTATACTGAGTGGTTTCGGATATATGCAATCCCTAGAGCTTTATTTTTAGCTTCGAAATTCTGATTGGCCATCCACTGAATATTGGACTATGATGGAGGTGTTCCTCACAACAGAATTTTGTTACTTATTGTACTGTAGTGGTGAATGCTGTGGTTGGTTCAGGAATTGTTTTTTTCATTTTTGCAAGGTTTTGTATTTATTTGATGTGGCCTTAGATAGAGCACTATGCAGCCAATTTTATGGGGTTAGTGTTGGTGCCAGTGATGGTATTTGATGTGGTTACAAAGCAATTTTCTGATTTTATGTTTTCTACAGTAAGAACTCACCATCTACATGACATTTGTATCCTATAAATTCCAGAGATGCCTGCTTGACTGGATTTTGAGAGGGTTATGTCTTTTTATCTTAAAAATGATACATGTAATTTCAACTCTCTGGCTAAAGATACTGCAATTTACCACTTGCATCTTTTACCGTTAGTACTATAAATGGATGTTGAAACTATTGACCTTAATGTCAGGTTAAAACTGCCTTATTGAGGCGGTGTGTTAGAGGTATTGAGGATTCTTCCTGTTCGGTTTGTGGTGAGGATACTGAGTCGATGAATCATTTGTTCTTTGAATGTAATGTTGTTTGGGGGATTTGGGTGAGGTTTCTTCAAATGTGGGATTTGTGTTTTGTGGACTGTGTGGAAATGCAGAAATGACATTGTGTTCGAGAAGGGTAGTTTGGATAAAGTTAAGCTCTTTTTTCTGGTCAGGTATAGGGTGGCTTCATGGTTCTTGGCTAAGTATTCTAATATTTCTATCCCTCTGGACTGCCTAGTAGGAGAGTTAACTTTGGCTGATCAGCATCGCATTCCTTCGAGGTCTGTTTTGTCCGAGTCTAAGTGGTGTCCCCCCCCGGGTTTCTTAAAACTTAATGTTGATGGGGCAGTTAATTTTGACTGGAGATGCAGTGGTATTGGTGGTGTGCTAAGAGATGCTGATAGTAAAAGGTTGGAGTTTTTCTCAAGTTCGATGGGACCAGGCCCCCAATCCTTGCTGAGTTAAAAGCAATTCATGCTGGGTTAGATTTGTTTTTGAAATCGGTTTGGAGGGATAAAGGAACTCTAATTCTAGAGAGTGATTCCTACAATGCGCTAAAGTGGATTTCCAATCCAGAAACATGTCCAGATCTTTATGTTCATGTGGTCAGAGTTATAGCCAAGTTAGTTAGTGAGTTCAATGTAACTACTAGGCTTGTTAACAGATGTATAAATGTGGAAGATGATCGTTTAGCTAAATCAGACATAGGATAGCACAAGGTTTTGTGTTTGTTTGTATTTGCTGGTTGTCTTTGGGGTTGTTTTAAAGGGGTTTTCTGTTGTATTTTATGTTCTGAACTAGTTGTATTTCTTACTCTAGTAATAACTCTTTGGACACTCTTTTCCTCCTTCCTATGATCATTGAGCTTTTAGGAGCTTAATGGTTATGAAGGGGGTTTTCAATGAGGCCCTATTTCTATAAAAAAAATTGCCCTTAATGTCAGTATATAAAAATTACATTTTTCCTGGTTGCCACATCATATGCGTGCCGTGCTTCAATATATAACAGATATTGTTATCATGGTTGCTATTCATTCCATTTAATTCACGTCCTTTTTCCCGGTATCACTTATGAAAATGACTCCCCCCTCTGATGCTGTTTTTTTTTATTTATATTCCTTAATTTGGCAGGGTGCAAGATATTGAACTTATGCACATGCGCTATGCTTTGGAATCGACTGTTCTTGCACTAGGAGCAATGGAAAGGAGCATGACTGGTGACAAAGTGACTCATCAAGTGGCACTATGTCATTTGCAAGACCTAAAGAACCATTTAGCAGCCATAAAAAATATTCCACGCAAGGTACTCTCCTACAGTCCGCATTATTCTTTTTGAATTTTGTTTCCTTAATGGGTGTTAATCTTGTGCTTTTCTTCATTGATGGAAAACTGCAAGTTCTTCTGGAAAAACCTATTGGATTGTATCTATATAAATGTTTTCAGATGGTTATGCTTATATCGGAGTAATTATTTACAAGTGGCACTCGGTTAACATTATTGGCATGTAGCAAATACTTTCCTTTTAAGTTCTTCATATGATCAATCTTTTTTTTGTTGTATTTGAATTGTCTAACTTTCCCAACAGTGCTCGTAGACTTCCCATTTTAGTTTCCTGTTATTTCCCCCCCAAAATTTACATAACGTTCATTTTGTTCAAATGCAGATACTGATGGTGAATGTGATAATCTCACTTTTACACATGGATAATATCAATCTCAATTTGATGCATTGTGCCTCAATAGGAGGCCTTTTTCAACAGCCTGTTGAATGTGGTTCGGAACACACTGATTTAGCCATAGATGAAGGTGGAAACAAAATGGTTATATCTTTCACAGGGTTGCTACTTGATATTGTACGTTGCAGCCTTCCACCATGCATAACTGAGGAGCATGCATCTACTGATGGTTTAAGCATGTCTTGGAGGCAGGCTTTGGAGTGGAGAATCTCAATGGGTAAACGTTTCATTGAAGATTGGGAATGGCGATTATCAATTTTGCAGCGCCTTCTCCCATTATCTGAACGGCATTGGAGTTGGAAGGAGTCATTGACTGTATTACAAGCAGCCCCATCTAAGCTACTTAACCTGTAAGCTTGATGATAACACCTTTGAAATAATTTGTTAATTTCAACTAAGAAAAAGCAGAAAGTGTAGGAAATATTTATCTCATTAGCATAACAGGGGTCATTTAATATGAATCTGTCAATCATGTTTGTGTATTCTATATGGAAAAATATCTGTTGGAATTGGTAATCGATATCCTTGGTTGCTGAGGGAATACCTGAATTCCTTTACTTTTGAAGTTAGAAATTATATCTTTGCATGATGAATAAACATTTCTATGAAATCTCCTTTGCACATGTAAAATAAAATGTCTCGGGGGACAATTTTTACATATAAATTAGAGTAGGAGTTGAGGTAGAAGTGGAAGTAACTCTTTAAAGCATGTTTCTTATATTTATGATATGTAAAAATATTGATTCCTTAAAAATATCAGTAAAACTTTAGAATGTGTATTGAGTTTCTCTTCTTGTTTATTGATCTTTTCTTTTCTCGACAGTTGTATGCAGAGAGCAAAATATGACATCGGAGAAGAGGCTGTTCATCGGTTTTCGTTATCTGTAGAAGACAGAGCTACCCTTGAATTAGCTGAGTGGGTAGATAATGCATTTGGAAAAGTGCATGTAAGTACCTGATCAATTACCGAACAAGTTCTTTAGATATACTTTCATATTTATTTTCCACGGTCTCCCTATGGTTTAGGATTCTTTTTATGTTACTTATGAATTGTTATCCCCTGCTTTTTGGAAACTTTCTTGTAATGCACTTGTGGAGGGTAATATTATTTTTGAATTAGTTTGAATCTGGTATCATTTCTTTATTTTCAATACATATCAGGCTGTGGGTTTTCTTATGCTACTTAGGTTCAAGTGATGTCAAAACAAAGTGATGTGGTTTATACAACTTAATCTTTGTTCTTGTGGTGCACATCACTTTTGTAGTTTGTGGTCCTTCCCCTGCCTGGTATATCACCACTGTATCTTTCCTAGCTCATGCATGTGTTTTATGCAGGTAGAAAATGCTGTCTCTCTTGCAGCTGATGGGGCTTCTACGGTTCAGGATCTGGATTTTTCACTGTTGCGCTCTCAATTAGGTCCTTTGCCTGCTGTAAGTGCTCACTTACATTGCTAATTCTTTCTTCCCTCTTTCATGTTTCCAGTTTGGAAAATATTAGACCTTTTCTATATCCTGCAGATATTTCTGTGCGTTGATGTTGCTGCAACTTCAGCAAGGTCTGCCCATATGTCTCAATTGCTTCTAGATCAGGCAATTCTCATTTACCTTTGAACTTGATACCTTTGGAGCTACCTTTCCTCCTCTTCCAGTTCCGTTTTTGCAATTTCTTATAGTTTTGACTAATGATTGCCAGCCAAAACAATATTCTTTTACTACCAATGAGACTGATCTTTAACCTAAAGCATATTTCATGCTCTTCTTAAGTAAAATGTTCTGTGTCAATTCTAACAGCAATTCACCATAGGAGGGGAGCTCAACTTGAAAATGAGCCTGACACACACACACGTATGTACCTATACCCCAAACTAAACCAATGTCAGACAAAGCCACACAATCCCGCCTCTCATGCACATGCCCCATTGAACAGTTGAGAGCAATGAGCCTATGGTTAAGGCTAATTTAAGCCCTTCCCTAGCTTCCAATCTGATCCCATATAGTAGTGAGTGGAAGGGGTAACTTGAATTAAGGCTAAAACAAACCCAATTTAAACCAATGTGGGATTAGAGAACATCATTTAATTTGCTCTTGTTTTAAATATGGCTCTTTAAGTGATATTTGAGTGTGAAACAAAATAGTATTATATTTTCTTTATTATTGATGATCTAATGTTCTTTTAGGGGAAAACTCATATAGACTCAAACTTACCTTTCTACTTGTGATCTAACAAGAATATAATCTTAAGAGATTCTTGCATATCAGTTTGTGTGTTTTGAGGTCATGTTGTTATTGACAGTGAACTCTCTTCATGTTCAGGCTCAAGTTATGTTATCTGAGATATATCCAGGAGGTTCCCCAAAGGTGGGTTCAACATACTGGGATCAGATCCATGAAGTTGGAGTTATTTCTGTATTACGATGTGTCCTTAAACGACTTTATGAGTTCTTGGAACAGGCATGTATTTGAATTTTCTTGAATGCTCATTTTTCCTACAGTTTACTCTTGCCTCCCTTTCCTCTCTTCCTTTTTTCTGGGTGATATAGAAAACAAATTATATGCTCTGCAAACATTGTGTTCTGTATTTCCTTCAAAAAGTTGTCTGGATGGTGCTTTATGTATTGCACTTCAGAGAATTTCAAGTATAGTGCATATGGTCTGCTTTTCTTTGGAGATGATTGCTGGATTTCTGATTGTTCTGTGTGAGCTTTTCCAGGATAGTCCTCCAGTTCTTCAGGCCATTCTGACAGGGGAGATCTCCATTTCATTAGCCCAGGATTCTCATCGACAGGGACAAAAGGAACGTGGTTTTGCACTGCTACATCAGATGATTGAAGATGCTCATATGGGCAAGCGACAGTTTCTTAGTGGTACTTGTTCACTTTTTGGCTCTTCAGGGACAAGGGGTCTTGCAACTATTTTATTGGCCATGTTGTTATTTTGATGTTTGGTTCCATAAATATGCTCCATTACTTCTTATGTGTCCTTGTGCCATGAAACCTTAGGCAAGCTTCACAATCTAGCAAAAGCTATCGCTGATGAAGAAATGGAAGTAAATTTTACTAAGGGGGAAGGATCGGGAATGGACCTCAAAGTACAATCCAGTCTTGACAAGGATGGTGTTCTCGGGCTTGGGTTAAAAGCTGTCAAAAAGACATCATTAATTTCCATGGCTGGAGATAATAGCATGCAGTCTGTTGGATATGATATGATGGATGCTGGGAAGAGACTATTTGGTCCTTTAAGTGCAAAGCCCACTACGTATTTGTCACAATTTATTCTCCATATTGCTGCAATAGGTGACATAGTGGACGGAACAGATACAACTCACGATTTTAACTTTTTCTCACATGTATATGAATGGCCCAAAGATGTAAGGAGTTTTATTACCTTGCTTCCTAGATTATCTTCTTCTTCAGTTTGTATTACTTTGCTTTGGGTTGAAAACGGGGAAATTTTGGGAATGATATGCCATTGTACCCAAGAAAAGGAAAAAAGAACTTAACTAATTCACTTGATTCTTTTATATATGCAAAATATTAATTGTTTACTTTTTCTCTCTTCAGCTTTTAACTCGTTTAGTTTTCGACCGAGGCAGCACAGATGCAGCTGGAAAAGTAGCGGAGATAATGTCTTCCGACTTTGTTCATGAAGTAATTTCAGCATGTGTACCCCCAGTTTACCCTCCACGGTCTGGTCATGGATGGGCATGTATTCCCGTCATCCCCACATGCCCTCGTAGTTGTTCAGAAAATAAAGTACTTTCTCCTTCTGCTAAAGAAGCTAAGCCTAGCTGTTACAGTCGTTCCTCTGCAACATCGGGGATCCCTCTTTACCCTCTCCAATTGGATATAGTTAAACATTTGGTTAAAATATCTCCTGTCAGGGCTGTCTTGGCATGTGTTTTTGGAAGCAGTATGTTACACAGTGGCAATGACTCCCCTATATCTAGCTCCTTGGATGATGATTTATTGCAGACACCTGATATTGATTGGTTGTTTTATGAGTTTGCGCTTGATCAATCTGAAAGGTGGCTAGCATGCCTTGCAGAATGTTTGTCGAAACGATTTTTTCTAAAAGGTGAAAATGTGAGATTTTGAAAATTACATTAATTTATCTTGTTCAATCGATTTTTTTTTAAAAATGCGATTTTTAAAAACTATCGTTTCGAAAATTCTGGATTTACTTTACGATCGAAAAAATACGGTTCAAAAAGTCGCCACCAATCTTTAATTAGGGTGTGATTGGGCACTCAAAAATATTTGTTATTTTAAATAAAAATTAATTTTAATTAAAATAACAAGTTAAGGTTTGCGTTACTAAAATTCAAGTTCGGGAGTCGGTTACGTGCAGGGAAGGATTAGCACCCCCACAACGCCCTAAAACGATACCTAGTCGATTAATTAATGTCTTTGCATTGAACTTTACAAATTCGAACTTAATTTGATTTTTGATCCCATAAAACAACGATGTAAATTTAAAAACATTCAAAAGCACTCAAATAAATTAAATTAAAATTACCGAGTCGTTTTAGAAAGATAAAGAATGTTCGATTATTTACAAATATCGAGACCAGATCTTAAAGATATAACAATCTTTTCTCGATATATTTAAATAAACGAACATTTCTTTTTCTCTCGTTCCCAAATTTTAGGGGACGAATCAATTTTTTGGTTTCACTTTCGGGATACACTTTTATTTTAAAATCATTAAAAGCAGACCTCAAATCAGTTATGACGGCCCACTTCAACAATTTTAAATTAAAAGGGTATTACCCTTAGTCCGATTATGTAATAAGTCGAGTTATGCGCGTGAGGCTATCATGCAAATTATGCAAAATAATATCATGTAAAAAAATTAAATATACAACATTAAAAAAAATAATAAAAAAAATAACATACAACGTGATATGCAAAAAAAAAAAATTATATACATACATTTTAAAATTAAAAATTAAAAATTATGCACATTAACATATTATACAAATGTGACTTAAACACAAAAACGAAAACATGACATGCTAAACTATAAATTTAAAATATATATATACATTTTAAAAAATGACTACATTTAAATATACAAAATTACACATACGAATTAAAAATTAAAACATAGACTTAAATAAAAACAAACATAAATAACAAGGGATCTACACCTAAATGACCCAATAAAACTACAACTAAAATTAAAAATGAGAAAATATCTAAATCAGGGCTAACACAAAGGATTAAATTCAGAAGTAGTCCTAAAGGTGACTAAAGTGTAAAATAATATTAAAAATTTGGAGACTAAAACCTGATTTTACCAAGCAAATTTGATGGCCAAAAAGTAATTAACTCAAATACTTACAATGACTAAATCCTAATTTAACCAAAAACTTTATTATGCAACATAACTTAAAAACCTAAGCTAATGCTTCAACACCATCAGCCGCTCTCTCTTCTCTACTCCATCTCTTCCCTTCTCATTCTCTCATACCCCTCGATAGTTGAACCGAGAGCCTCCATCGACTGCAATCGCACTTCACCTCAACCGACGAGCAACCCAACGACAAAAGAAGCTTAACCATTTCGGTTTTCCATGTCCCAAAAGAACCCACTCTCAACCGAGGACTTTGGCATACCCCTAACCTTCACAATCGAGAAAATCATTCCGGTGACCACCCTCAACGGTGACTATCTACTTCTCCGGCGATGGACTCAACTTCTCTTCCTAACTTCCTATACATCCCTAAAAAACCATAAGCCCTCTCTTCCAAGCCCCCCACCGATGAAAGAAAACGAAGAAGAAAGGTAAATTTCATTTGAGTTTTTCATTTCTATAGACAAGTTCAATCTTACACTGTAAAATGTTTGTTTGTTTTTACTTATGAATCTCTCAAATCGAATCAAAGAAGCTAATTAACAAGTTTCTACCCTAAAGACGCAAACATAGCATTGGAAATGACATTAATCTAAGGTAAATAAACCACTGCTCCTTTATGCTTCTGTTTTGGTCCTAATTCGAAACATGTACACACACAAGAACATTATGAAAGCAATGGAAAATGAAAGTAAAATAAATACCCTTTATAACTCTGTGTATTGCTTTGGCTTGATGAAATGAAGGAACTCCTCTGTTTCCTTTGATAATCAAAATCCACGAAAAAATCAGTACAATGTTTTTCGTTTCTGCTATCTAATTTCTGTCCAGAGACACCCTGGAGACCCTCCCCCCTTTCTTTCCTGATCTCCCTCTCTATTTACAGTTTATTTCCCCCCACGTAAAAACTGTACATTTCAGTTTTTATTACCCACGATGAAAAAAAATAAAGAAAATGGCCTCCACGTTTCTTTTCTGGTTTTTAACCCCCATAACTGTTTTCATTTGTAAGTGATATGGGCCCCGGACAAATCAAACATCTACAACTGCCCCTCTTTGCTTATTGTCGAGTAACGAGAATAGAGCAAAGATTAAAAGATGGTCAAATTTGTCCGGCCATGAGAACTTCAAAAGATTAAAGCACTCCATTGTTACTTCGGGATAAATGAAACTTGAAAAAGCTTCGGATGACGGGTCCGCTCCATATTCCTTCAGGGAGTATAAGACTCGAACAATCTTCAGCAAATGTGTCTGCTCCCTATTCGTTTAGGGAGTATAAGACTCGAACAATCTTCAGCAAACGGGTCCGCTCTCTATTCTATCAAAGAGTATAGAACTCGAACAATCTTCAATAAATGGGTCCGCTCCCTATTCGTTCAGGGAGTATAGAACTCGAACAATCTTCAACAAACGAGTCCGCTCCCTATTCTATCAGAGAGTATAGAACTCGAACAATCTTCAACAAACGGGTTCGCTCCCTATTCTATTAGAGAGTATAGAACTCGAACAATCTTCAACAAACGGGTCCGCTCTCTATTCTATCAGAGAGTATAGAACTCGAACAATCTTCAACAAACGGGTCCGCTCTCTATTCTATCAGAGAGTATAGAACTCGAACAATCTTCAACAAACGGGTCCGCTCCCTATTCTATCAGAGAGTATAGGACTCAATCTTCAACAAACGGGTACGCTCCCTATTTTTTCAGAGAGTATAGGACTCAATCTTCAACGAACTTGTCCGCTCCCTATTCCTTCAGAGAGTATAGGACTCAATCTTCAACAAACGAGTTTGCTTCACTACTCTTTCATGAAGGCTTATAGATTTAATTGCTTCACTGCTCTTTCGTGAAGGCTTAAAATTTACTTATTTTGAAGGTCAAACCTGAAAATCAAACATTATCAATCATGAACATATGCTTGCGAATATTATATTCAAAAATTTAGAATTTGACAAAATTTCTAAAAATTCATCTCTATCATGAAAACTTGTCTGAAAGCCATTGGATATTTGATTCTGCTTTGACTCAATTTTCGTATGAACATCATTCTTGTCAAAATCTCAAGACCAGTTATCTTCATCTCGATGCTTCAATATCTTCAATCTTCAACTATCATTGAGAAACTTGCAAATGCTTAAGTCATCATGCAATTATGAGTGTCATGATCCTATTCATGCCTAAATGTATGCAAATATGCAATTTGATGCATTTTCTTCTTCGAAGGAACTCTATCTCCTTTTGATCTTGATGGAACTCGGCTTCATCTTGGGCACAGAACGTTTGACCAGTTCACCCCAGTTGACAATCTCAATTCCATATCTCTCGGCTTAACATGACCTTGGCTCCTTTCTTTCTTAAAACCCGTCAGTATCCATGACCAACTTCTCGACAAACAACAATCTCTTAGGGTCATCTTTTAATGGCTGAAATTTTCTACGAACTCCAAAGTTTTAGCTTCCCGTAGCCACACAAGCTTACATGTTTAAACCATTGTCAACTTCAGAATACCTGCATTTTCCAAAACCTTTTTCACAATAATACAAAATGATCTCATGTACTTCAAGTTAAGCTATATGTTTTAACTTTTCAAAATAAGATGCTTACAAAAGGGGAATTAACAAGAAAATACATCTCTTTATTTATATAATGCAAAGAATTTTTAGGTAATTTTATGGCAAACTTTTAACTGGAAACAGTAAAAGAACAAAAGAGTAGGCATCTTCAAATATCAATAATGCAAATGCTTTTGAACTGGCACGCCGTTAGAATGTCTCGAGTGTAGCTTCTGTCAAAAAGATCTTCAAAATTATGATGCTTAAGAGTATGAAGCTACTTCTAAACTCCCAAATCTCTATCATTAGATGCCATAAACCAGTATTGAATCTCATGTGCATTCAATTTCTCTTGGTTATTTCAATCGAGACTCATTAATCTTTAGTCTCATCCCTGATCACCAACTGTCATTGTTACTATCCATATCAGGAGCTCTTTCCACTTCCAAAATTAATTCAGAATCTTCCACCATGCACGAATTCTGAATTTCAAATTCAACTCAAGTCGCCCTTTGCGGGTTTTCAACTTGAGACCTCCTTTGGTTCCAAGACGCCCTTTTCGGGTTTTCATCTTGAACCCTCCTTTTATTTCTCTTTTTTTTTTCATTTTTCTCTTTTTTTCATTTTTCATTTTTTCTTCCCTTTTCCATTTTTTCTTCTTTTTTTCTTTTCGTTTTTTCCATCATTTTTCTTTTTTCTCATTTTTTCTCTTTTATTTCTTCTTCAAGCAAAATATCTCTTAACAGCGTCGGCATTCACTGGATATGGTAATTCTGATCCGTCCATTTCAGTTAGGACTAGAGCTCCCCCAGAAAAGGCCTTCTTGACAACATAAGGTCCTTTCCAATTGGGCATCCATTTTCCTCTGAAATCTTTCTGAATAGGCAAAATCCTTTTAAGCACCAAATCTCCCTCATGGAATTCTCGAAGGCGAACTTTCTTACCATGTGCCCGTATCATACGTTTTTGGTACATCTGACCCTGACAAATAGATTTCAATCTCTTTTCTTCAATCAAATTCAACTGGTCATACCTAGCTTGGACCCATTCTTCCTCATCAAGCTTTACCTCTGACAAAATCCGAAGTGAGGGAATTTCCACCTCAATAGGTAAGACAG